AAAAAAAAAAAAAAAGATGACAAACATTATCTGTCCGTTTCTGCGGGTTAAGAATGTGGGAGTGAGCAGCTTAGCATAGGGGTTCTGGCATGGGGTCTCATGGAGTTGCGTCAAGATGTGGGCAGGGGCTGTAGTCATCTGGAGCTGGAGAATCTGCTTCCAAGCTCCCTCTTTGTGGCTGTTGGCAGGATGCCTCAGTTTCTCCCCACGGGTGTTTTCTCCATAGGGCAACTTGAGTGTCCTCACACCATGCAGGCTGGCTTCTCCTTGGGCAGTGTATCCCAGAGAGGCAGGCAGGGCAAGGACAAAGCTGCAGTGCCTTTTATGACCTAGTCTTCTTATTCTCTTCTTTGGAGGCAAGCCACTAAGCCCAGCCTACACTCAAGGAGAGAGGAATTACACCTCACTACTGAATGGAGCAGTATCCAAGAATTTGTGGACATAGCTTAAGACCACCACATCCCAAAAAGGATGAAACCAGGTCAACAGGGAGGTAGGTTTAATCTAGATAAGCTAAGAGATATTGCTACCAAAACCAATTCTCTAAGGTGTGTATCACCAAACTGGGATAGAAGGCAGTCTCCCCTTCCCCAGAGCTACCTGCTAGTTTTGAGAGGGGTGGTGAGAAATGGCAATTCCCAGGAGAAGCATATCCTCCATACGTCTGCCTATCAGCAGCTCAGGGATGCTAATTTGCAAGTCCTAGACTTGGTGTCTCTAAGACTCATTTGCCACTTTTATTTTCCTTTAGTCAGGAATTGACAAAGGAATTGGGACCTTCCAGCTGAGCCACTAAAGCTGTTTTATTTAGAGTCGGAATTGTTAAGCAAACAGAGCAAACGTGAATTAAATGTTAGGTTATTGAGCTGAAGAAAAGAAAGCAGTTCATATTTGGGGTGAAATAGAGGATGGCATCAGAAAGCCAGGTTCCACCAGTCTCTCCAGCTGCACCAGCTTAAACAGACTTGGGTCAGATCTCACCCAAGCAGCAACTTCTCAGTAAAACAGGGAATGTAAGTGTCTGTGCTTGATTGCGCCTTTAAATCCAGTGTGCAGGTTAACTCTGCATCCCATCTTGTTCTGAGCTTCTTAATGCAAGACAGAACTGGTCCTACCTTCACCCTCAAGAAAAATTAGACGAGGCTCGTCAATTCAGTACATTCTTAGTGAATGTCACTGTATTCATAGTGAATGTGTTTCTGGCACCCATTCTCAGCCAAGTCTTTATTGGTTTCAGACACCTTAAAGATGCAGATTCTTGTTTGGATTTGCGCTCCGCCCCTTCCTGGCATTTTCTTATCTGTAGCTCTGCTTGCTTTAGAGTATACTTGAATAAGAAGCATTGCTGCTGAGGCAGCTGTACGAAAAAGGTACTTCTTCCAGAAGTAAGGAACTCGTCTTTGGAGCACCTTCAAATGAATTTTGTTTTTCCTTATTTTGAAATGGATTCAAAATAAATGGTCTTTTGGTGTTTTTTGGTGTTTGGGTTTCCAGCTCTTTGGGACTCTCAGACCTTACCTTCCTAGTTCAAACACCGTTAGTTGAAGTCTCTCATTTCCATTACAGTGCAGCCTGCTAGATAAATGGGTTGCACGCCCAGAGGCCATCATTTGGCCAGTTTACGGAGAGGGCCTGCTTTGAATCAAGGCAACTGCTGCAGGGGCTCAGTATGTTGGCAGCAGTATCCCAGAGAGTGAATCTATTTCTGTTCTCCCCGTCTTGGATACCAGCTGCTTGAAGCCAGGGCCCTTCACTCTGCATTCCGCTTTAGAGAGGAAGCCCCACTGTCCTTTTCTGGTTCAGAGCTGTCCCTTCTTGGCCTATGAATATATGCACACGTGCAGCTATTTACTACCCTGCGAAACCCAATCACTTGCCTGCCTGTGACATCTGGAAAGGCACATTTGTTTTAAAGAAACGCTGTTTCTTTGGGAGGGCAGTTCTGCTGGACTTTGGTGGGGCCTTAGTTACCCCCACAGTTCTTTACCTCTCAGCTTTTAATAAAAGATGAATCAGATCTTGATGCAGTCAGGTCACAATTCTTTAGAATGCTCATACCCAGGGGCATTTCCTGTTCCTAGTAATGGCTTTCCAGTTTCGTAGTGAAGTTTCTTGAGGCTAGCTCACAGAAATTTCTAACTGAATACTGTAAGGATGATGGATAGATACTTGCTTTTTCAATTAATCATTCATACATCACCTTTCCCACCCTCTGGAATTTAAATTTCTTTCTCTAGGCTGGTCCTGGAAGTTAAAATCTTTGGCAAAGCTTAGATTTAGAAGGCTTCTGAGTCCCTGTACAGATGGTCTGGGGTTTCTCTTTGTTTATTGACCTCTGCCTGCAGCCTGGCAGACCATCCTGTATGTCACGGATGCCCAGTGGAAAACAGAACTGAGGTGAAACACATTCCCTGGGTATTTAAACTGTCATTCTGCCACCTTTCTAACGGTGAGAGGCTGGTGGAGAGATGCTGCAATGCTTGATAATCATTTGGCCAAAGGGAGCTCTTGCTGGTGCTTTAAACAAAACCTCCTGGACACTTAGAGAATTCCATGAATCTAGCACAGAATAACCATTCTTGCCCAAATGTACGCCCTTTCTCTCAATTTAAAAAGTCAAGCCCAGGCTGAGGGTAATTTTACTGGAAACCAGGGGAGTGGGGGAGGGAGGGAACTAAGCGAGTCGTGGGTAAGCAAGCCATCCTGCTCCTACCTGGTGTCTGTATCCAGATCACCCAGCAGTGCGCACCAGTGCCTTTCCGTCACCTGCAGATGGAGCCCATCCTTGTCCACCTGGGTGAGGAAACCCTCTGCCACCCCAGGGGTAAACCTTAAAGAAGGGGTCTTGAAGAGCCCAAAGGACACTCACATGCTAAGGTGTCCATTTTAAGCATCTTAAAAGATTTTATTTAATAAAAATAGCCCTTCCCTGTCTTAGTGCCACCAATGGCCCAGTTCCATCCATTCTGAATGGAAAAGCGGAGACTGCCAGCACTTTCCTCAGTCTTCCCTCTGTCTCCCCATGTGTTGTCCCTTCACCCACCCTCCCATCCATCCACCGCTGCGATGGATAGCAGAGGGCACCGTGCAGTCCTTGAGGCAGTCCTGTGTGATCCCATGATCAGTTTGTTTTTTTAACTGTCCTTCCAAACCAGTGGGTGTTTGGAAATTAGGGAAAACATTAAATTCCCAATGGTTGCTGTTATAGTTAAATCAATAAAGATCTTGAGTATCAACTTTGTGTTTTTTTAAAAAATTTTAGGTGAAATCCGGCTGAGGGTTATTTCATATTTTGGGAGTCTTGGCTGGTGGGGGAGGTGTGCAAAGGTAGTTGGCTGCTTTATGTATCAGTTCTCAACAGTTGGAACACGCACTTTGTCAGTCTGGGCTTAGCTATGCAAGGAGACGGGACCCTTTTCTCGGGAGCAAGACCCTGGTTCTCTGCTCAGGAGCTTGGAGGTGAACGTATCTATGCTGGGCTGAATGCACAGCAGGATGCCCTTCTCTGGGCACCACCAACTTTTCCTTTCTCTGAGGAGGGGCTGCCCGTGGCCCTCAGTGCACTCGTTAGACACCCACCCTGTCTAATGTCTTAAACTGGGTTGTGCTGCAGGGGCATCAGATTCCTTGCTATTACTGATCCGGCAAGTCTTGCTTGTTAGTATTGAGAACAAGAATTCTGCCCTTTCGTGTTGTCGAGGTTGTGAAGAGAAGTCCACAGAATAAAATGACTCAAGGAAGCTTCTCTGTCAGGACCGTGCAGAGGTTCTGGGCACAGGCTTTGGAGTCAGCCAGCTTCAATTCCAGCTGTGCTGCTTAGTAACCATGTCACCTCCAGCAGGATTCTTTTTTTTTTTTTGAGACAGAGTCTTGCTCTCTTGCCCTGGCTAGAGTGCCGTGGCGTCAGCCCAGCTCACAGCAACCTCAAACTCCTGGGCTCAAGCGATCCTTCTGCCTCAGCCTCCCGAGTAGCTGGGACTACAGGCATGTGCCACCATGCCTGGCTAATTTTTTCTATATATTTTTAGTTGTCCGATTAATTTCTTTCTAATTTTAGTAGAGACGGGGTCTCGCTCTTGCTCAGGCTGGTGTCGAACTCCTGAGCTCAAACAATCCGCCTGCCTCAGCCTCCCAGAGAGCTAGGATTACAGACGTGAGCCACCGTGCCCGGCCTACCAGCAGGATTCTTAATCTCTGAGCCTCTATTTTCTCTCAAGCAGGGTCAAGAAGTAACTTTCCTGGGTTATTTTGAGGCTCAGGTGAGATCATGGAGAGCCTAGTGCCTGAGAGTTCAGTAAACAGCAGTTCTTGTTAAAGGACTCAAGCACAGTCCCGTTGGCACGGACAACCAGAGCCAGTTCAGCTCAGTCTCCTGTTTTGAGAGTGGAGCATGCTTGACCACTGTAGCCAAGCACCTAGTCATGGGATCTCTAGGACTAAAGCATCTGTTTAAGGGAGGTTGAGGCCAAAATAACCTTAAAAGCACTTTCATACCTGCTTTACTCTGCCCAAAAGCAGTTAGGATAGAGGGATAAGGATCTTAGTGCTAATAAAAAAGGGAGGCGTTTCAAGATGGAGATAAACCCGGGGTTATGGTGCTGAGGGTCGCAGCCACTTCCCACATCTGTGTATCCTGTGTTTCTGCTTCTGTCCTCTCACAATGTCTTTCCTTCTCTTCACGCCTCCCTACTGCCAGGCCCACCCACCTCCATAGCCTGGGAGAGCAATGGATCCAATTCTTCCCACTTGTGACTTGGCACTGCTTGAGGAATGGTAGACCTTTGCCTTCAGAGCAAGTTAAAGTAACTGACTATTCTGTTGAAACCCCAGGTTCAGGCAGGACACAGTTCTCCAAGGCTGTATTTCCTGACTTACAAAGCCTCCAGCAAGCACACAGGGCCCAGAGCACGGAGCTGGTCTCTAGGCTTGGGTAGGTAGGCATTGCCCCAAATACTTCTGTCCGGGCAGAATGACCCTGCTGCTGGCATAGCAAACACGGAGCTTTCAGCAGGGGTCAGCAAAACAAGAGTTTCACTGCTTCGTGCCTGTGTCTTTTGCTTGACATGAGGCAATGCCTTGTCCTCAGGTTTGCTCTGAGCCAATAGAGCCGCAAACTGTAAACAGTCCCACAAGCCATAGCCACAAATAGCTTGACCCTTCACTCTCCTCGCCCCAGCCATGTAAGAACTGTTGGGTACCTACTTGGTAAAGAAAATGCTCTGAAGTCCTGGGGTGGGATTTTCACTCCTAAGAACTTCAGTTCGGTAGCAGGATTGGGTTCCAACGTTTTGTTGCAAAGGCTAAGGTCTTGATCCAGAGCTAGGTGAGCAATACCCTAGATGGTATTAAGAACAGTGTGTGTCCCCAGGGCTCAAGAGACCAGAGCTGAGCTCTTGGCCCTGCTACTCTCAGCTGTGTGGTCAGGCCAGGAGGCCTCTGGGGTCTCATTTAGAAAAGGGCATCGGAAAAGCTGACCTCACAAGGCTGCCCCAGCTTGTTGTGTGCGTGGAGTCAGATGCAGAATCCTCTTACTCTGAATTGTGGTCGGATCTGGGCAGGTCTATTTCCAGTCCAGGTAGTGAACAGTTGGATTAGCTTTATTGCTAAAGCAAGGCATTGAGATTTCTCAAGCCCAGGCCTGGCTCTAGCAAATCTAACACTTACCTGGGCCACAATGACTGGATTGGCTCAATCGACTTAATCAAGGCTGTAGATGAGTTCATCTAAACTCAACAGGGTCGTACATGACTGGAATCATTTTCCTAAGGCTGGAACACAAGCAGACAGGCTTCTTAGGAAAGGAGGGTAGGGGGTAGATTTACTATGGACTCATCCCCAATAAAATGGGCCCCTTGCTCCAAACAACAAACATGTAGTCCCTGCTTTTGCATTCTTAGTGAGGCTCAATCCAGAAGATGAAGACTTGTGTTCGGGAGGTTTTGGTGGTAGAGCTTCCTACAAGCAAGCTTGGGTTCCCTTTGCCGCGCTGCTACATGGAACCTGAAATGAAGTCAGTCCTAGAACCCTGAGTAACAAAAGAGCTGATAAAGTTTAGATAAAGGGATATGGCAGGGACTGGGCTTAGCAGGCTTTATAAGCTTTAAAGGGAGATGGGGATGAGGCCCAGAAGACAGTCTATGGCTGAAGACTCACGGTTCTTCTGAGCCGACCGACAGACATGTAATATGAATGCCTGAGCATCCACCAGCTTTCATCTTACAAGAGGAGGCTGAGCAGTGAATTACTCGCCTGAGGTCACACAGCTTCTCAGTGGCTGAGCTGCGACCATAGCCCGAGTTTCCTGCCACCCAGGGTATGGCCTTCACCCCTGCTGGATAGGAAGCTCAGGGGCCTCATTAATAGCACACATTGAGAGACTGAGATGAATTGTCACCAACTTTAATATCTGCCAGAGCAGACTGACTTGGGATGTCTGAGGGCTCCAGCTTCCATAGTCTAAAATGGCCAGTCCTCTTGGATGAGTTCCTGCCTCTCCAAAGGCACCAGCTGGCCTAGGAGAACTAGACAATGGCTTTACTGTTTGTGCAACCCAATAGCAGAGACCCACTCCAGGGAGCCTCTGGACAAGGCCAACAGATTGCCACCAGCCTGTCAGAAAGATGGGGGGGCTTCCCCCAATCTAGCCTGAGGCAGTGAAAGCCAACTCTGGACAGTGATACTTAATCTTTGGGGAGGGGCAGGTCACAGATCATGTGAAAGCTATAGATGACTTGCCCCACCTCGAAAATAAAGGCACCTACATCCCAACTTTTGCATATCATTTCAAGGGGTTCACAGGTTAAAGAAATCCCATAAAGAACTCTTGCACTTGTGCTTTTACTTGCCACTGTCTTTTCAGTAAAGAGAAAACCTGGCAAGCGCCCTGCGTGGGCTTCCTCCTCCCTCTTCCGGATGCAGCCTCTGTGCTTGGCCAGACTCCACAGCGCCCTTCGTTTACAGAGTGGGCAGCCCTTCCTCTTCAGTTCTGGTGGGCAGAGCAGCGTTTCCCCTCCGTTTCTCCTCACTGGATTAGATGGTTGTCATGTCTTCCAGGAGCTTCCCGACCTTTTGGAGTGCAGGCAAATCCAGCATCCCTCCAGGGTCGCCTCAAAGGCACCCACATTCTTCCACGATCATGTCTTTATGGTGATCCAGGAGCACTCTGCCGTTGTCCACGTACAGCATGCTCAGCGGCTTGGTCTTCACTGGGGCGCAGCAGGTGGAAGGGACTCGGTGGGGCTGGTAACGTTTGAGCAGACTCTGTAAGAGGGAGGAGAGGGAAGTCAATCCACGTCCCAGTGGAAAGATCAGAATAGTATTTCTGGGTAAAGAGTAAAAAAGTTAGAATTAAAATCAGTTTCTGAGTGGGAAAATAGAAAATTATTTTCATAAAGAAATCAGCATGCCAATATATCAACTCTAATGTCTAAACTTTAGCTTTTTTTTTTTTTTTAAAGACTTTAAATAGAAAGATTCCAAAAGTTACATGTGTCTGGGTAGAGCAGTAGCTAATTTACATGATCTATTGTTCTAGTCTAGAGTGAATAACAATTTTCAAAATATTCCAAGAAACTCCTGGTTTATTAACAGTTCCAGAAATATGAAGCAGAGAATCACATGGAAATTCTTATGGGAATAGCTTTCTTTGCCAGAGAAGGGCAGATGTGAGTCAATAGGAGAAAAGGTAACAACCCCTTGGCATTTTGGAACCAGACCCTGGCCCCGTGATCTAGCAACATCTTTTCTGATCAGCGTCAGAGTTGGCCACTGGGACTGTCTGGGTCTCTGTGGTCATGCTGCAGGTGGCTTGGTGGAGTATGTGGTGTTGAGTGAGGCTCACGGGACCTTTGCCCAGGACAGCTCCTCTGAGGCTCTGGCCCCACCAGAGGTCCTGTGAGCTCAGCTCACATCCTCATGCTCCCCAGAACCCCTGAACCCCACCTGAGGCTTGGATGGAGGATACTGCAAGTCCATGAGAGTCATTCCAGGCTTCATAGAGAAAACTGAAACACTTCAGCTCCATATCATCTTTGGGAACAGGGCAGGGCCACCTTATTAGGCTCTATTTTCTGTTCTCTCCATCTCATTCTCCTTCCTAACACCAGTCCTTCTGTTCCTAGACTTTAGGCTGGTTTGTGGCACCTGGTGGCAGCCTCTGGCCTTATCTACTTCTGTGAAATGGGTAGTCAATTCCTGTTTTAGGCAGCAAAGATACCATGGCTGGAGCAGTATTATTTTAACCATGGCCCCATAAACGTGGCCCCCATTTCATCAGTGACAGTTCTAGTGAGGCATACAATAAACATGCCTATCACCTGCCAACTACTATCCATGCTGCATGCATGTCATCTCATTAACCCTACAGCATCCCTATGAAGGATGGCATTGCCATCCCCATTTACAGGTAGGAAAACTGAGGGTGGAGAGCGTAAGCAGCCTGACCAATATCACATAGCTAGTAAGGAGCTAAATGCAGGCCTGTCTATCCCCAAAGGCCAGATTCTGAACTTCCTTCCCTAGAATGTCAGGCTGAGAAGGCGTTGAGATCCTCTGGTCTGTCCCCCACCCAGTTTTATGAAAGACAAGGAAAAAGTCCCAGGGAAGCAATGTGTTCAAGGCCACCCAGCAAGATACAACTCCTGTAAGCTCTAGGAGCATGCTGTGATCAGGTCATCTCTATGTCCCTGATACCTAGCGCAGGCTCTGGCACATGGCAGGTGCTTAAATAACTGAATGAACACAGTAATTTAATTGCCAAGCTGGAGTCCTGTCCCCCTGATCTAGGAGTATGTCCCCATAGCTTACGACCTCCCTTTCCCCTCGAGCCCTGGTATCGCACCTGAATGTATGCATGGTTGGTTGGATGGAACTCCTCCCCGACGGGGTTAGGACACTCGCCCTCACAGCGATAGGCATTGTACTGCTTGGGGTAGATGATCCAGGAGCCCCATCCGATCAGGTTGAAGTCCACCTGGAACTTGACCTTCCGACACAGTTGGCTTCTGTCTGGCAAGTGATGTCGACGGTGCCTGCTGCTGGCCTCCTGGGAGAGCCGTCCCTCCTGGGCCCGCCAGGAGCTCTCAGCTTCCCACAGCAAGGTGGAGCCGCCCAGCCGCCTCTGCTCCCGAGACAGGTTTGAGTAGAGCACAAGGAGCACGTCGTTGATGGGCAGCGTCGGGGGCCGCTGCCAGCACTCTCGGGCCACACTGGACATCTGCTCCTCTAGTGCCCCAGGGCGCTTTAGCCACTTAGAGAGGGGCCTGGTCACTTCCAGGACCATGCTGCCCGAGGAAAAGGTGACCTGGGACAGAGTAACTGTGAACAGGTCCATCCGAAGCCGCTCCAAGCAGTCGCCTTGGGCCTGCTGCGAATCTGGCTTGGGCTGGTGGAAAATCTCAACGGAAAGTGGGTCCTCAGCAGGGAAGGCCACGGCACTGGGCAGCTGCAGCCGGAGCTCAGCCCACACCAGGTCCTCTTCTTGGCTCAGGAAGGAGAAGTCAAAAGCAAAGGTCCAGTTCTGCCCATCTACCTCCACATCTGGGTGGGAGAAAACCAGGAAGGAAGCAGGGTAAGTGGGGAACTCCCCCAAACTCAGTCAGTATAACCGCCACCATAGCTCATGCTGAGTCCTTACCTTATATGAATCACCTCTTAATCCTCACCCCAACCCTACAAGTTGGTAATGTTTTTGTGTCCATCTTAGAGATGAGGAAAATCGAGGTTCAGAGAAGTTAAAAGACCTGACCAAGGTGTCATCCTTGGAAGGTGGCAGAGCCCAGAGTAAATCTGGATTTGCCTGACTGCAAAGCCCAAACTCCAAATCACTGTTTTGCTAGTCCCCCTTCAAGATACCCACCGTAGCTAGAGAAAAATTGGTAAAAATCGGATGAGTTCCATCTGCTCCTCCCCTCTGTCCCCTCACACAGGCCAACCCCTCAGCCTTCCAACCTGAACCCTGGGCTTCCACTCACCCTCTGACCCTGGAGCAAGCCACCTTTTAGGGCTCTGTTTTCTCACTGGGAAGAGTGGCCTGTTTCACAGGTACAGTGAGCAAGAGACGAGCATATTGGGAAAGCTGAGAGCTTTCAGGGAGCCAAAGACTGGTCACCTTCTCCCTGGCCTAGTTTCTGAAGAAGGAGACAGAAACTCTGAGTTTTGGCAACTTTGCAAGTAGATTTCTAAAGATGTTTTGGCATGACCTGGCATGGACCTTGCAGTTTTCCATTCAGTGGTCTTTCCTACCTACCTACAGGGGCTCGCCCCCTCCTGCCCCAAGTCATTCTCAAACCTGGGGCACACACACAGCTGTTACTCTCTCACACACACTCACAGCCCTGTCCCACCCACCCAAAACAACCAAACCCAAACCGGATGAGGGTAAGGGAACACATTCCGTTTATTTTGGTCCTGGACTAATTTCATCTGATGTCTGGGAATAGCACGTATTTGTGGATCTTCAGGTCACTTAAAAGTGATCTTTAACTTTCAAGCCCAGTTTCCTCTTCTTTGCGGTGGAAATAACAACACTACCCTCTCTGCATTATCATAGGACCCAGGGAAATAAAGAGGTTTATTGCTAAATAAAAGTCAGGGGTTATTCATCAGAAATAAAACAGAGACAATAGCTCCTGTGAATAGGTCCTAGAGGTAGGGACAATCTCTGATTTAGGTCCAGTCTGGGTGGATCGCATAACAGTTTAATTTTGTATGGTCTCACAGAGCATCTTTGGTCAGAGTATGAATTTCTCTGGGAAATCCAGCTTGTATTTCTATTATAAAGGGGCAATTCCCAGCTTCAGCCTCTTGGCAGCCCCTCCCAGCCCATCTCCAGCAGCTCTTTTCACTTAATTTCCACTTCCCTCCTCATTAGCACTTGCGGGAGGCAATAACCGGCCCCTGACTAACAATCCAGAGGTGTGGGGAGGGGCTGACGTTATCCAGCACCCATTGTCACCTGACCTGACTACCTGGGGGTTAGCAGGACACTATAGCAAGTCCACCTGTACCAGGAAGCCAAGAGACAGTGAGTTTAAAAATATTTTATCCCAAGTAACTGCAAATGGCCTTTTAGAGGAAGGCACTCCTGCTTGCCAGTTAGGAGCCAGGGTCCCAGGGTCTCCCCATGATGGTTCAAATTCTGCCACTTGCTATTTGACATTGGTTAGGTTGCTTTCCTTCTCTGGGCCTCAGTTTCCCTCTTTGTAAAAGGGAGATGGTAAGAGTATCCACCTCCCAGGGGTGTTATGATTAACTGAGGTAATGCATGTAGAGTGCTTTGCCTAGCACAACGGCCAAAATTCAAGACATGTTGGCCATCATCACCTGCCTCATTTTTTTCCCCCCGTAAAGATTATTTTGAACTGAGACCTGCCTCATTATTTCTCAGGTCCAAAAGTTAGAAATGAGGGTGTCCACCCAGGTGGTGAGGGACCTAGACAGGGGCACAAAGTCATCTGTAAACAGATGGGCAGTGTACATGGAGGGGCAGGGAAGAGATTGCTCCTTCCTGCTGGCTGGAAGAAGTTTGTGACTCCATAATCACCCCCATCCCTCAGAGCTCCCTGGGACACAGTGCTCACAGGTTCTCCCAGATCTGGCTCATCTTAGGAGAGGGGTTCCTAATCTTTTAGGGGTTACTGATGCCTCATGCAAGGCAAGAATGTTTTCCCCAGGAATAAAAAAACACACATCCACCCACTGATACAACAAATATGCTTTTAAGGTAGGTATGAGGAAGGGGTTCAGATACCCTAAATACCATCCATGAAAGCCAGGCACAGTAGCTCACACTTGTAATCCTAGCACTCTGGGAGGCCGAGGTGGAAGGATCACTTGAGGTCAGGAGTTCAAGACCAGCCTGAGCAAAAATGAGACCCTGTCTCTACTAAAAATAGAAAAAAATAGCCAGGTGTTGTGGCATGGGCCTGTAGTTCCAGCTACTTGGGAGGCTGAGGCAGGAGGATCACTTGAGCCCAGGAGTTTGAGGTTGCTGTGAGCTATAATGATGCCACGGCACTCTAGCCAGGGCAACAGAGTGAGACTCTGTCTCCAAAAAGAAAAACCCATCCATGAGCTGAATATAGACTTGGTCACACAGGCCCCAGTGGTATCCTGACCCACCAATTCTAAAGAAGGAAGGAGTTGGGCTCATGCCCTTGGGTTCCTTTCCCTCCACCTGACACTCTCCTCCCCTCAAACAAGGCAGTGATGCTGAGATAGGATTAGGTGCTCCCTTCGAAAGGAGGATGGGGTATGACACTGAGTGCCCACCCTACATTATTATAGGGGTTGTTACCCTAGGCTGCTTCCCATGTGCAAAGTGTTTTACAGCCATTGTCTCCTTAAACCCTTCCACTATTGTCACCATTTGCAGATGAGGAAACTGAAGGTCCAAGGTGAGGAAGGCTTGGACCAATTTGGTTGGAACCCAACACCCATTTCATTCTACTGTGGTGCAGCCTATAAATAAACCCAAGAGAGAAGGGGCGGGTTTAAGGCATCCCGTCTCTAAGCTCCCTCCAGGCAGGCTCTTCTCACTGCTCTTAGAAAATGAGCCCAATGCACGATAATGTAAATGTACTGAATGCCACTGTACACTTAAAGATGGTTAAGAATTTTACATCCACACACACTTTTGGAGACAGGATCTCTCTCTGTCTCACTGGCTGGAGTGCAGTAGCAGCGTCACAGCTCATGTAACCTGGACTCTTGGGCTCAAGCGATCCTGCCACAGCTAGGACTACAGGGGAGCACCACCACGCCTGGCTAATTTTTTATTTTTTGCAGAGACAGGGTCTCGCTATGTTGCCCAGGCTGGTCTTGAACTTCTGGGCTCAAGTGATCCTCCCGCCTCAACCTCCAAAAGTGCTGGAATTGCAGGTGTGAGCCACCGAGCCCACCCCTCGTTATATATGTTTACGCATGCACACACTCTGCAGCAGAAAGGGAACAGCAGCCTAATTTACAAAAGGGAAGCCAGACAAGTCAAGCGATGTGCCAGGAACACGCAGAATTAGGGAGCAGGGTTTGAGGGACCATAACCCAGTCTTCCAACCTCACAAGCCTTCTCAAACTTTCCAGAAGGGCGTGAACTGGAAAAATGCGCTCTCCCCCTTTGCCCCGTCCCACCCCCATCGTCCCACCCCCAGCAGAAGGGCTGAGCATTCGCATTCCAGCAAATTTCTCTTTGCCCCCCCCCAGGGTATCCGCCCACCCCCTCTGGCTGGTCGGCAGATGACCCTTCCAGAAAGGGTCACTGGCCGTCTGACCCTCGACTTGGGAGCTAGGGGCCCCCACCCGCAGGCCACGAGGGGTGACAGGTCGGAGGGGTGGGGTTAGCGGATGTGGATTGCACCGCAGCCCCGGGGAGGACCGTCTGGCCCCCGCAGGCAGAGGGAGGGCGGCCGGGACTGCCCTGGCGGCGGGATGTGGATTGCGCCTTAGAAGGGGGTCCTGGGTCAGGGCCCCCTCTCCTCAGCACCCACCTGCCGCCGCACTCGGTGTCCAGAATACACTGCCACGTCCTCGAGGGCGATACTTTCAGGTTCCTGCGGTCCCTGACACCCGCACCCCTTCCAAATCTAGGCCCCGAACCTGGGGTCATCCTGGACACTGGACACCTCTGCAGCCCAGGCTCGAGGACTCAAGGCTGCCTCAATTCGCGATTTCGGGTACCCTTCCTCTGATCTCGGATCTGCGAACCTTAATCCCTGATGTTCCATTCCTCAGCCTCAGATGCTCCCGGGACCCATTCACCCTCACTCGCAAGGAGAAAAAAAAATTCGACAAGACAAAATAATTACAGCAATGCTAACGACTGTTTATCGTTGCTATGCCCGGTTCGTGCCGAGCGCTGTACGCGCGTTGTCACCTAGCCCGCCCCAGTCTTACGAGGGAGGTACTGTTAGCCTCGTCTACCGACGCGCAAACGGGGGCGCCCAGGTGACGTGATTTCACAAGACCGCACGGATGCAAAGAGGCTCAACCAGGCTCCCACCCCAAACCAAGACCTGGGAGGCAGTCCCCACACCCTGGACGCCGGAATCCCCGCCCCTCTCGGCTGTGGATACCCCCAGGCCACCAGCGCTGCGCACTGAGCCGAGCCTGCAGACGCGGAACACCTGCAGATCCGGACCCTTCGAGCCCTGGGCTCGGAACGCCCGGGTGATGGCGTCCCCAGCACGAGCCCCAGCCTCCCCTCGGCCCCAGCGCACTTCCCGAGTCCGAGGCGCCCCGGGGTGCTCGGCGGGGCGGGCGGCGCAGCCTACCTTGCGCCTGCAGGCTGCGGATGATGTCCGCCCGGGGCAGCGGGTCGCGGTAGAGGCTCAGCATGTATGCCAGAGGGGACGGCGACGAGGGCTGCCCCCGCGTACGTAGAGGCACAGCGGCCAACGTCTCGGCGCCCGCCTGGAGCAGGGCCCACCAGCCGTGCAGGAGGAGGAGCGGCAGGCGACGGGCATGCATGGTGGGCTACCGGGTGAGAAAACCGTGCCTCTGCCCCTTATATCCTGGGCCTCAGCAGCAGCCCCGCCCCCGCCCTTCCTCCCTCCCGGGAAGCTTTAAGATCTTACAACCCCCCACCCCCACCACCAGAGTGGGGGAACGCGGAGGGACCCCCTGCCGGGACGAGGTCAGACCTGAGCCTGAGCCTCGTGGACAGGAGGACTTAGATCCAGGGACCGGGCGTGGGCACCCTGGCACCCTGCTCTGATAGGTACCAAAGGCCTTGTTGCTCAGACAGAGCAGGCTTGTCCCGCCAAACTCCCAGGTCAGAACTGTGCCATTTATCCCATGGGGACAAATATCAGCTTCAGTATTGAAGTGCTCTGCCGGGGAAGACAGTGGGCAGCACGGACCAGGATGAAGATTTCTCCAGCTGAAAAGGGAGTGTTTGGCAGAAGCTGGAGGCCAGGCATAGCTAATGGGGTGATCCTGGTGGCATCAGGCTCTTCCCCCCACTGGCACACACCACCCCAGGGATTTCAGGAAAAAAGGCGTAGCCCACATCCTGCAATCCCTGCCTGCCAGTACCTGGGTTTCGGCTCAGCATCACTCACTTTCAAGTCTCTGGGCTCTGCCCTCCTCGCTCATCTGCACAACAGTGATCCCCGCCTTGCCTCCCTTCTAGGTGTAAAGTCAGGTCCGGGCTGGAATTACTTTTAAAGAAATGTAAATCCCTGCCCCAGTGTCGGGCCCCAGCTGTTTTCCTAAACACCTGAGGGCTCTTTCTCTGCCGGAGCTCCCCCACCCAGCCCCCACGTCCTTTCCCAGCCTTGGCCAGCACTTACTGAGCACTTACCGTGTGCCGGGCGCAGTGCTAAGTGCTTTACACACCTCAGCGTCTTTCACAGGATGCCTCTAGCTGGCAAGAACCGCAGGCTCAGACCCAAGCCGGTGCTAGAAAATGGAAGGGGGCCCAGCAGGCTCAGCCGGCAGCTCCAAACCTGTGTCCTCCCACCCAGCTGGGATCAGGACGCCTGGGCTGCAAACCACGTGGGCCCTGGACACGCTGCTCACCTAGCCACCTGCTTGCTCCTTAAAACTGACACTGTCTTGTTCATCCTGCTCCCATACCGTACATAGCATCCTTGGGACCCGAAGACTCTTAGGTAAGTAAATAAATCAGTGAATGGCACTGTGTCTGGCCTTGCCCGAAGATAAGCATCACCTGGGGTGTTTGTTAAACTATTGATTCCAGGCCTTCGGAATTAGAATTTGGAGAAAGGGAGTGGTAATTTACATATGTAACAAGCACCCCAGTGATTCTTACCAAGTGACTTTGCAGCTTTGGGCTGGAATGCATTGGGGTTCTTGTTGCAATTTGTAACCCATCTCTCTACTTTCAGTTTCTTCATTTGTAAAACATGGCTGGAGATCACTCCTCCCTGTAGATTAAATCAATGTAAATAAGGCTTTGCAAGCTTCAAGACCTGATGTAATTGCAAAGGATTACACATGCAGTTAGTAGAATGAGTACTCAGGGTTTGTCATCTGACGTCCCCAGCCTGGGCACTCGCGGCTGGTGGTTCTCAGCCCCAGCGCTCTGTATCAGACCCCACCCCGGATGCAGAGGGCGCCTTCATCCAGGTTACACATATATAAATAAAACGATAGACCGTGGTTAGTGCTGACCAGGACTCAGTCACCAAGAATGGCAACGCAGGGAAGGTACAGACACCTAGACTGAGGTACGGGAGTCACACTCAGCAGAGTAGATTCCAGGACCCAGATCTCCCAAATCGCCAAGTGTCCTAGAACCCAGGTGGTTCCTGTTTAAACAGGAAGGTTCGGCACAGAGCAGCCTCATCCACCAAGATTGGAGAAGGAAAAAAAAGATGATATATCTCCTTTCCATACTGGACCAGAAGCTTCCTTAAATGAAGCATAACGCTTTATTCATCCTGTGTCCCTGCAGTATGCGGCACATAGTAGGTGGTCAATAACCACTAAAGTTAAAATGAATTACAAAAACAGCTAACATTTATTGAGCACCTATTGTTGCGTTGATTTTTATCATTGTTCCTGCTTCCGAAATGAGAAAATGGAAGCTCAGAGGGAACAAGGTAACTTGCTCAAAGCCACAGATTTAGGAGTGGAAACAGCCAGCATGTGGGGGGTCTGATCGTCACCCAAACCTCTGCTTTTAGCACCTGTTGCTTCCCCATGTGTGAGGGGTGAAAATGTGCCTTTTACTAAGATTTTTAAAAAACTCTCAAAGCCTTGCCTTTCCCAGGGTCCAGCAGCTGCAGACAAAGCTCACTTCTGATGTGTATTGGCTTAGAGCCACGCGGGAGCCTGGAATTTCTCTCCGACCAGCAGGAGCAGCTGTCTAACAAAGCCCCTCCATCTCTGAACTTTCTAGGGCTCTGGCACCCTGGAAGAGCCCGAATCTCTCTTCCCTCTTCAGGAGAGAGGCTAACAGTCCTCCTCATTTTTTAAGGACATTAGTTTGTCCAGGATCTGTTTTTCCACAAGTAAAGGCAGAAGTGCCCTTTTCCTGAGCAGGGAATGACACCTTCTCACTTCCTCTGCCCCAGACAGACTGACCGACAGATTCCCTGACCTGGGAGATAACCTTTGAGGCCTTCCCGACTGGCAGGAGGGTGAGGGCAAAGTCCCTCGAGGTTCTCAAATGCTTTTCATCTGGCCCTTTGGGCCCCTCCCTTGACATGAACGGCAACCTGTGACGCGGTTAAGTGTCGGGCCTCTGAGGTCCAGCCTCCTGGAGGCAGAACCTGGATCCTTCTCTGTCACTTCCTACCTGGGTATATTATACTAATCACTTACTATCTTGAAGCTCCTGCTTGCTCAGCTGTAAAATGGAGATAAATAATAATGTCTACTTGGCAGGGATGTCATAAATAGTAAATGCGTGCAAAGCGCACAGTGCGTGTAGCATTTGGTCATTCATTTATTCATTGAGCAAACCTTATCTAGCGTGTGTGTGCAGGGGAACTCAGCTGGATCCCCAGGGAATGAAGGGCACGTGTTTAATGAGCATTTCCTGTGTGCCGGCTGTGGCGTGGCCACCTTCGCATGTGTCAGCCTGTGTAAGCAATCCTGTTCGCCCTCCACGGAAGCTCTGTGCGGTGAGGCATTTCAGAGATGGGGACACCGAGGTGCGGAGGAATTGAATGGCGTAAGCTTTGTGAGGGTGGAGGGCACCTGCTTTATCATATCCCTCCAGTGCCTGGCACAGCTCCTGGCGCACAGGCGCTCACTAAGTATTTGCCCAGCGATTGAATGAACCCTGCATTCCTGCAGCAGGTCCCACATACCCTTGCCTTCCACCTGCTCTTTCCTCCTGCTCTTTCCACTATCTCCCTGGTAAACTCTTGCTCATCTATCAAGACACAGTTTAAAAGTCCCCACCCCACCCCATCCCACCCCCAGCAATTTAGCAGAGCCCTCTTCTAAGTAAGCAGTTGTCCAGATTCTCTTTGGTGATGGCCACCACGCTGTGAGCTCCCTAGAAGCAGGGACCACTCCAGACTCATTTCTCTCCGAAGCCCCAGCCCCTGGTTGGTCACTGACCATCACCTGCTGTGATCTGTAGCCTACACGAGTGGATCCAGTCCCGTAAAGGGTGGAGGCGGGTCTCAGCACAGGCTCCTTGCTCCCCCCTTCAGTGTGTGCCCACCCTTCCTGTCACCCCACACTGCTGGTCTTGCAGGCTGACACCCAGCGCTGAGAGGTACTGTCCAGGTGACCCTGCTGGCACACGTGGCTCTCTGTGATCTGGGGATAGAGATAAGCCTTCATCTCCAGCCTCCCCTCCAAACCCCTTGTACCCCAAAAGCACTCTAGCCCCGTGGAAACACCTTCCCCAAAGTTCAAAGATGTTCTTCCTCTGCCCCCACTTCATTCACACAAAACATTCCTATTAATCCCACAGAATCCATCCTAAGGGTCTCTTCTTCCATGAAGCCTTCCTCATGTGGTCTCCCTCCCTCTCCGGCACTCTCCCTCTGTGACCTCCTCACTCAGGCTCTGATCCCAGCCATTTTTTGCTTATGGGACGCGGTCCTCGAGCCCGACAGGGTCCTCGAGCCTGGGGGGTTGTCCATCAGCAAGCCCGGTGCGGTTGGCTTGGTGTTCTTCAGAGCGCTGGGCCCTGGCACTCCGTAAACAGAGGCTGCAAATCATGCTTGCAGCTGGCCTTGGCTGCTAACAGTGTGTCCTCTGCTGCTAATCACGTTTTGAAAAGTTTTAAAGTCACCAACAATGAAAATTTTTGAGATTTTGCATAAAATAGTTCCTCCCTTTCATTTGAAAATGGAAAGATCCAGGCCCTCGTTTCCACCTGACAAACTTTCCCTAAAGCTGAATAGTCACTATTCCTTTAGGCAGGGTCTGTTCTCATAAGTGCCATCGTCCCCACCACTGCTAAAACTTATCACACGCACATGCCTGGCCCTAAAGACAAATGAGTTCGAGGCCCTTGCTCTAAGCTGGTTGAGAGAAAGACATTCTGGAATCAATCAGGAAAGGCAGACTGGGGGGGTTCGAGTTAGGTACACCCCATTGTCCTCCACAGGGACTAGCCCGTGGATTATGGGTGCCTGGCCAGACTGGATGGCATAGACGTAATCTGTTATTTTATAAATGCTTACCACTGTGTGTTTACATTATCCTAATATACCCTTCCTATCAATCCTATGAAGCAGATTGGATGTTGAATCCTATTTTACAGCCGAGGAAACTGAGGCTCAGAGAGGTTAAGCAGCTTGCCCAAGGTGGAACACCCAGCAGGTGGCAGTGCTGTGATGGGCCCTAACTCATTCTGACTTGGGGACCAGACTGGGTAGTCCCTGTCCCAGCGTGGCCCCTTATTACCTCCCTTGCACAGAGAGGCCTTTGCCAACTTCCCCATCTAAATCGACCTCCTGCATGCTGTCGTATCACTCTGTTCGTTTTCTCCACAGCCCTTCTACAGTTAAAAATTAACTCATTTTGCTTGGTTCCATCTATTTATTTTTTATCTGTTCCTGTCTCCCAGCACCGG